ATAATAATAAGAAGAAGAAGAAGAAGAAGAAGAAGAAGAAGAAGAAGAAGAAGAAGAAAAAGAAGAAGATTAATATGATAGTGATAATAAATTGCATTTGTATTGCCCATTTTCATTTTGACGAGAAACTAAATATGCCTTGCCGGCCTTAAAAATAAGTAGGTGAGGCAAACACATGCTCAGTCAAGAAGAATATACTTTAAAAGAAAACAACTCTGCCTAAAAAACTACACACAGCTCGACGTACTAGTGTGTATGTGCAAGGGTAAAAGTGATTATTGATGTTTTACAAGGTCATTCTGTACCTCAGCTCCTCACCAATATTGTTATTTTTATTGTACAAAGGAAAATAATTTTATTCCACTTGAATATCACAGACTTGCATAGCCTTGTTGACATAAGTGTGTTTAACTACCACATATATTTTATACACTTAAATGTAAGATTTGGCACATTAATCATTTGATAGCTTTCAGAAATCAATACATTTGTTTGTTAAAACCGTTTGTGAAATTCTGATTTCGCCTACTGCACAATGCTTTCTCTGGATTAAAAGGAAACAAGCTTTTCAGTCAGAAGTATGTTTCACTTCTGATTTCCGCAGGCCTTTATGTTTATGCTTTTGGCGTAAAAGCTGATAACGTCAGCCAATTGCTAATATGTTATTATGCTCAAAATCTATTTTTAAAGAATTGAAACTTCTTAATCGATGGTATCGGTTCCATAATAATAGGGTCTAGAAATATTTTATTTAAACTTCAATTCTAAATCTAGATAAAAAAATATGTGGTCACAATTGTTCAAAGAAAGAAACAGTTTTTTCTCTCTCCTGAAAAGTTTTGCTTTCTAGCTCTAATACATTTTTAATAGCTTGCTGACGATATAATATAATATGCAGAGATAAAAGTGTGCAATTCTAAGGTTCCATATCTGCCTGCTCATATTTAATAGGCTGTTTTATTTACCTGCACCTCCCCACCTGTACTTACGAAATATTACACTAACGTTGGAAAAGATATCTACACTTCATAATTAACACATGTCTCGTGAAAAGATATATTTATTTCATGTCACTGTAACTGAATGAAATATGCGTCATCTGAGAAGGTTGCGGTATAACTTTTATAACATACATGAAGGGATATCTCTGTTCGTAGTCACTGTAACTGAGTAAAATATGCTTCAATTGAGAGGACTGTTGATAGGCCTATACATTCACGCATTATTAGTTTCTCCTTTCACATTCCAGTGGGATCTCCATTACTCACCATGACAGGTGTATATTTTGACCTTATTGTGTTGCAAGCAGGGTTGGGTTGATTTAAATCAGGTCGATTTAAATCAGTTGATTTTTTAGATTTAAATCAACTTGATTTTTTAAATAAAAATCAGTGATTTAAATCACTTTAAAAAAAATTTATTCTGTTTTTACATAATTATTTAAACTTTTAGAATTCCTTTCCTTGGTTTTATGAAACAGATATAAGGTTTAGTAGACT